ACGGAGAGCCCCGGGACGGAGAGCCCCGGCCGAGGGGAGAGCCCGGCGAGCAGGAGGAGGGACAGGACGTTCGGTGCCGCAGCCCCCGGCCCCTCTGCCACTTCCCAGGAAACATGGTAATTCCTGGGGCACGGGTGGGCACCGGGTGGGCTTCGGGAGCGACAGCACAGGGAGGTGCAAAGGCTGAGGTGAGCGTGAAGGTGTGCAAAAGCAGGTATGAAGGTGAAGGTGGAGGTAGGTGCGAAGGCAGATGTGAAGGTAGAGGTGGAGGAGGGTTCAAAACAGGTGTGAAGGTGGAGGTGGTTGTGAAGGTGGATGTGAAGACAGGTGTGAAGGAGAAGGAGGGTGTAAAGGTAGATGTAAAGGTGGAGGTGGAGGAGGGTGCAAAGGCAGGTGTGAAGATAAAGGTGGAGGTGGATTCGAAGGCAGGTGTGAAGGTGGTTTTGAAAGTGGATGTGAAAGCAGGTGTGAAGGTGAAGATGAAGGTCAGTCAGCATGAAGGTGGAGTTTGGATGTGAAGGGAAAGGTTAGTGTGAGGTTGGAGATCAGATGTGGAGGCAGATGTGGCCGCAGTCACTTGAACAGGTGTGTGCAAGGCTGCATCCTGTGATGCTTAAACTTCTCTGCAAAGTTTGTCAGGGAGTGCAGTAAGTGGGTGCTGCTGTGTGAGCCATGCCTGGTGTGATGGTACAGGAGGATGCACAGCAAACCCTCCTGGGTCTGACTGGCTCATTCGTCACTGCAGCCAGCACGTGCCGTTGCCCTGGGCTCTGCGCTGAGCTTCTCACTCTTCTGGGCCACTTGCATCGTGTCCTGCCAAAGTTGGTGGCAATGAGAGCTGCCGGAGAGGGAGTGGAATTGGTATTCAGGGCTGGTCCCAGGCTCAAATCTTGCATCTTCCTCGAACAGGAGGGAGAAAGGAGCTGGAGCTGAGTCATCGTGTGGCTTTGGGCACGGGTTAAACAACTTCACCACACCAAAACCCCAAAGCCCAGCCCGTCTTGTTGGTGTAAACCACTTTAAAAATATGGGTATTTGGGGAGAAATATCAATCTCTATTTAACAGCACTTTGGCTTATTAAAATGGAAATAGCTTTGCAAATGTAAATCTCCTTATGCTCCCTAATGCCTTTGTTCCGGCTCTGCTCCCTCACAGCGGGTGGAGGGACTGGGATAACTAGCTGCTTTTGGATTCCTATGGGCTCCTGGCTGGCCTGGCTGCTGCTTCGCCCATGAATGTGGAGCCATCTCACCATGGTTACCCAGAAGCCTCCCCCAGTGATGGAGTGCTTTGCAAGTGTCCATGTAAACATTTTTAGTCATTCTGGGCCAAAATATTCTCCAGCACAACCCAGGCTGTGTCTGGTGCCTCCATCAGGCCCTGGTTCTCTCTCTCCTAATGTTGGCTCATGCAGTCCCTTACCACTGGATGAAGTCCTGGGCAATAGGGCAAGAGGAAATGGCCTCAGGTGGTGCCAGGGAGGGTTAGATTGGATACTGGGAAAACTTCCTTCACTCAAATGGTTGTCAAGCCCTGACACAGGCTGCCCAGGCAGTGGTGGAGTCACCACCCATGGAAGCATTTAGAAGAGCAGCAGAGGCAGGGTGGGCAGTGCCTGCTCATCTCTTGTGGCAGCATTTGGAGCTCAATGGATTCCCCACTACTGCTGTGTGTTGGACAGCACCTCCTCACCTTGGCGCTGGGATGGGGAAGGAGCCAAGCTCAGCAGTGCTGGGCAGGGAGGTGCTGGGTGCTTGTCTGGGCTCGGTGCTGGGGACAGGGTGGCTGCACCAGGGCCCAACCAGAGCAACATGGAACAAGGTGATGGGCTTTGCCCTGCTGCAGGGATTTTCCAAAGAATGGTCTCCAGTGCCTTCTAGGAACTGTGCACAAGAAGACCAAGTGTAAGGAGGCAAGTCCAAAAGCAGAGAGCCCGGACAGGAAATGCACTGGTAGATCAAGGTCTTGAGACAGGACTGGCTGTCCTCCTTCTCTACCCAGGTCTGTGGCTTCTCCTGCCAGGCACAAAGGCAGGAGATTCCTTTGTGGAGACATGGAGAAAAAGTCAAGAAGAATTAACCAGAGCATGACTGCAAAGTGCTTTAGCTAAAGCGCATTAAAGCTAATTAAGCTGAATTAACCAGGGGCCCTTTGTCTCTGTATGGGCTCCTGGACCAGGGATTAGCTGCCTGAAACTAATGCTCACCTTGAGCTAATCCCACCTTGAGTTAATCCCACCATATTTCCTGGGTGCCTGCACAGGAGCACAGGGATGATGGTGAGCTGTGGCTGCCTGAGGCTCAGGGCCCAGCTGCTTGGAGGATGCTCATCTTCCTCGCTCGCTGATGAGGTCCCTTTGCCAGCCATGCCAGAGTCACCCCCATGCTGCCTGGAGCACAGCTGGGGTGTCACAGGAGTCATGGAATGGCTTCCCTCTGTGTACCAGCCATGCCAGTGGGGTCCACACAGCCAACAGCTCCTGCAGCACTGGGAGAATGAACTGAGAACTACTGGTTCATGCGTGGCACAGACCCAGTGTCCTCACCACGGTCTGGGGCAGCGTGGGAGGCTGCATTGCAGCAGAATGGCTCACAGAAAATGCTTGCAGGAGTAATTTTGAGTTTGGCAAATTCGACAATGGGTCTGAACCAAAACGCCCTATCCATCTTCAGATGTTTGTCCTTCGTCTCATCTGCTGCATTCCTACAGTGAGCTGCAGGGCCCAGCACATCCCCATGCTCTGTCTGGTCTGGCTCTGCTTAACCCCTCAGCTGCTGTGACTTCTCCGCCTCCACATGGCTGGTGGCCGAGCAAGGCAGACGCTGCCTTCAGGGCTCATCCCAGGCTCCTTAACCACAGCCCAGTGCTGGGAACGGGACCCATCATGCCACGTGCTCCAGCTGCACCGTGTTTGCTGTGCTCCACTCCTGGTTCCTCCCACTTCCAGCCCAGGAGCCCCCGAGATCAGCAGCATTGCTAGACTAGCATAAGCATCGCAGGGCCCTGGCTGCAGTGCAGCGCAGTGGGATGGTGGGCAGAGGCACTGGGGTTGTGGGAAAGGAATTCCCACTGTGGGACCACTCTCCCACCACTGATGCTTTCCTCCCTCCCGCAGGATGCCGGATCGCTGGATGCTGCAGTGCAGAGTGCCCTCCAGGCTCTCTACCCTCCCTTCGAAGCCACAGCCCCCACTGTCCTTGGCCAGGTGTTTCGGCTGCTGGAGACCAGCTACCAGGGTGATGGGCTCTGTTGCCTGCTCCAGTTCCTCATCCCAGCCAAGCGGCTCTTCGAGCGCCTGCGGCAGGCAGCCTGTGTAAGCCCCCATGCCCTGCTCTCAGACACAAGGGGTTTGCCCTAATGCATCCTGCCTGCATGGCACACCAAGCTGCGTGTTCCCTTCCTGCATATCCCTGTCCCCATCCCCTCTCTGCAGAGGGGACCATGGCACACCCTGCTCCCTGGGACAGCTCTCGCACATGCAATCCCCACAATAAGGGCAGGAGGACTTCAGGATTACCTTTTCTTAACCCCTAGAGAGGTTCAAGCAGCAGTTTTCCCTCTGCAAGCAGATGGGGAGTCATAGCACCCGAGGGATAGCCATGGCTCAAAGTGGGCTTGAAGTACCCTGCTTGGCTCAGGGACATTCATCAGGTCATCCTCATCGTGGGAAGCATAGAGGCTTGCAGTGAGTGAGTGTGGGGCCAGCTGGGAGGGCACAGAGCTGGCAGGGCTTGCTCACATGCTGTGTTCTTCCTCCCTCCCAGGCTCCCTACTTTAACCGCATCTTTCTTCACGAAGGCTGGCCCTTGTGTCTGCATGAGAAGGTGGTTGTGCACCTTGCGCCACTCAACCCCCTCCTGCTGCGCCCTGGGGACTTCTACCTGCAAGCAGAGCCCTGTGAGGAGCAGACAGCACGTGTCACCATCAAGCACCTTTCTGCAGACCTGCGCTCGGTGGAGGAGACGCCAGTCCCTGAAGCTGCCCATGCACTGCTCTTCACCGACGCGTGGCTGGAGGAGGTGAATGGCAGCCGGGCTGGGGCCACCCTGCACACCTGCCTGGTGGCCACAGAGAACGGTGTCACACCACTGCCATGGAGCCGGATTGCCACACCAGAGTTCACTGATGAGCCCAGGGCTGGAGCTGACAGTGTGCCTGCGAGTGCCCAGCATGAACCTGCTCCTGATGCTGCACCTGAGCCACCAGCACCCAGTGCACCCATGTCCCATGGCACAGTGAACATCCAGGCACACTATGGCAACGTCGCGGGCACCATCCCAGGCTGCAAGGTCACCTCTCGAAGGTCGAGCCAGGGGCGATACCCAGGACTGATCAAGGTGGAGCAGACTGGGCTGCGGAAGAAGCCAGCCATGCTGGCTGTGCCCAGTCTCTGTGATATCATCAGCCAGAACCTGGAGGGGGAGTATGTGAACCTGCTGGAGCAATCCCAGGAGCAGCTGAACCTTCTGGCCAGGTCCTTGCTGCCTACCTGCCTGCCGGGGACGATGCAGGCTGGGGCTGAGGTGATGCTTCCCTGGGTGAATGGGGAACCAGGGGCAGATGCCTGGCCCTGCGAGGGCACACTGAGCTCAGAGGAGAGTCCCTGCAGCCCGTGCCTGGGGAGGAAGCTGAGCCAGGATCTGGGGCCACACAGCCCAAGGTGCCGTCAACGTGATTCCTACCTGGCTGCACTACAGAACCCGGTGAGCTTCGGCTCCGGTCTGATGTCAGCCATCCTGGAGGAACCGGATGGTCCCAGCTCCAAGTTGCCCCCTGCCACCCCCTGTGAGACCCCTGTGCAGCACAGGAAAGGAGCAAGCAGCCCCACGCTCCTCACCCGCCAGCCCTGCCGAGCGAGTCCCGGGGTGCTGGCAGAGGCATTGGCACAGCGGGGCAGCTCCCGGCTCCCCCCAAGCTCCAACCACAAGTTCTCCTTCCTGAAGGGCACGCGGCTCGGAGCAGCCCCCGGGGATGAAAGAGCCACCAGCCAGCACGAGGGGGCCTGGAAGAAGATGTCGGCCATCTACTCACCCAGGATGGGCAGAGCCAGGGCAGCTGGGAAAGGTACTGTCCCGTGGGGCTGCAACACCTGCCCGAGCACTGCTGGGGCTTTGCCATTCCTCTGCCTCATTGTGCATTGCCAGCTCCTCTCTCCTCCATCTCTGTGCACAGGTACGAATGCAGCCGCTGCTGCCCGCATGGAAGAACGGTCCCTGGAAAGTGCCAGCTGCAAGAATGGTCCCTCTGAGCCCAGCACTGGCATCACTGGCCGGGATCCACCAGCCTGGCAGGATCTGCACTCTGGGCTGCTGCGCTCAGGCATCATCTGCCTGCCAGGTACAGCAGGCACTGCGAGCCTGGGGGATGGCGGGAGAGGCCTCCAGAGGGAAACACCAGGCTGCTGGAGAAGGTGTTCTGGAGGAAAGTTTCAGGGCTTTGCTGGAGGCCAAAAATCCCCCAAGTGGAAAATTTCCTTTCATCTGGGCGAAAACATTAAAAACATAAATGCAGGCAGCCTGCACAGAGCAGCTGCCCTGGTCCCAGCCGCCCCAAGCCCTCCCACACCATTCCTCTTCAGTGAAGCTGTTCAGCTTTAGCTGCCAAAACACTAAACATTTGGCTCCTTCCTTTTCCCGAGAACCAAAAATCGGTAACAAAACTCATCTTTTTCTCAGGAAAAACGCCCCCAGCAGCTCTGGAATGCCAGGCCCCCTCGAACTGAGAGCCCCTTCGAGCTGGCTCTGATCCTCTGGAGCTGGGGCAGCACCGATGGGTTCCCCTGCCCTTTGTGTGTTGCTCAGAGCTGGTGGGTGGCTGCCAGAGGAGTCACTCACCCTTTCCCCACAGGGAGCTCAGACAGGCTGGGCAGGGCCCTCCTCCTGGTGACCACCAGTGGCAGTGCCTGGGGGGCTGCGTGGTGTTCGTCTGCTGAGCTGGCGAGGCTCATCCTCTACCTCTGCTCCCTCCCCAGGTAAGGGCCAGCAGGACCTGCCAGTGATCCCCAGCCACTGTCTCACTTGGGAGTCCCAGGCAGCGCCCAGGCCAAGTCAGGATGGATGCCCAGCATCCCACATATGCTGGTTTGGGCACATCACCAAGGACCCTGGGCCATGGCCCTGCCAGAGGCACATGCTTTGAGCCCTTGGCTGGGGATCCCACAGGAATGAGGCCACTGTCTGTGGCTGTGCAGAATGTGGGAGGGGACTTTGAATGGGTCCTGCCCCAGGGAAGGACTTGTGCCACCTGCTTCTGCTGGTTTTCCCCTCACTAGGCGAGAAGTGAAGAATGGCGAGAGGCGAGAAGCAAAGGACATTGGGCTGATGGTTGTGGTGGATGCCAGGAAGCAGCCGCCTGCTCCCGTCCTGTTCTCGGCCCTCCGCTCTGTCCAGGTGCACCGGGCTCTGCATGACTGTGCTGTAGACATGCCGAGGGTGGGCAGGTGTCCCTGCCTGGGAGGGAGTGCTGCCACCAACTGGGTGTCCCTCAGAGCCTCCTCTGTGCCTGCTGCATGATGTGATCCCCAAAGGTCCTTTCCCAGCTCCATCATCACCCGGTACCATGGTGTCACCCAGAC